CTGCCTGAGCAAACATTGTCCCCACCGGGAAGCTCCAGCTCTCTGGCTCCCTCTCTCCACCCGTTTCTGCAGCGGGCAAGCACATCGGCCCCTGCCGAGCCCTGATGCCTGACCCCGCTGTGCGGGGATGAGGAGAGGAATAGTGAAGCGACCCGTCACCTGCTCCCACTGGTGAGCAGAGCGGGTAGCAAACTTGGGACTGGGTGTAGAGTCACTGAGCTGTACCCCAGTGGATCCGCCAGAGTGACAGAAAGCAGCTGGACACTTGACACAAAACTCTGCCCATCCCGTGTGACCCGTAGTGATGCTTTATCCCCCTTAACTGTAACTGCTCAGTCGGCCATACATCAATAGAGAGGAAATCATGCCTGTTGGTAAAGGACAGCATTGGGAGTCAGACAGTGGGGCCTGTTTGCTTTGCTCTGCAGAAAACTCCTGTGTAACTTGCAGTAAATTGCTTACCTGTGCCTTGAGTTTCCCATAAACACGGAACTCAGACTTTCCTACCTCAGGGGAGAGTAGTGAAGGTAAATTCATTAACACTTGTAAAGCACTTTGAGATCTCCAGTTGGAAGATGCTATAAAAATGCAAGTCCCGAGTAACATGATTATTGTAAAGCAGTGCTTCTTTTGCAAACCATTTCTATGAGCTGCTTTTATGCAGATGGCAGTTTGTTGGCAAATCACTGAAGCGGAGTTCAGGAGATTTTATATGAGCCAGTTCAGAGTATACGCATTGAGTGCAAGTTGTGAGCAAACGCATACTAGAGGAAACTGGGGGCAGACCAACACTGAAAAATACCAATTGATGTTTCAACTTCTCTGCTGTCAGGAATCCAGCTGCAGTGTGTAGTCCGTGCTGCTCTTTCCAAAGTAACGTATATCACTTGCCAAGCCAGGTATTCAGAGTGTTGTAGTGTATATGTTACTCTTAAGGGCATTTTGCGCCTAAACATTCTGCACACAATGTTTTAAAATTTGGAGGCATTTATTTGTCAAATAAATGTGGTGGGAGCACAGGCGACTAGCTGCACAGAGGTGGGAAATTGCTGTATCTCTTCTCCCAGGACACAGACTGAGCAAGGAGGCTGCATCCAACTCTGACAGCGCAAGGATATTTGGGCCTGCCCCAAAAAACACTCCAGGATACTTCCATGCCAGGGGCAAACAGACTCAGCAAGACAGGATCCAAGCGTTGAGGGGTTTAATGTTGGGGGAAGGATCCACGTGTGAGTTAAGGATGCCGACATGCATGCAATTGGCTAACCTTGTAACCACTGAACATTTTAACGGTTACACAGGTACACGCGAGGTGGCAGCCAGCTTTTTGGGAGCCGGTGTGCGACAGGAGCTGGCTTTTAAGCCAGTTCCAAGTGTGCACTGTCTCCTACCTGCCATCCCACTCCCGGGGAGCCAGTTGCTGCCTGGGGCGGCAGGGGGTTCCCCAGGAGCCGGTGCATACCAGGATTCATTTTTTAAGCCAGCACCTGGCATGCACCAGTTCCCACATGCCAGTCTACTTCCAGGAATGGGCCACGAGCTTCGTGTAACCATTTGGGTAACCAATAAGCTCATACTGATCAGTTACCTGCTGAAACAGCTACATCCTAGTGTGGGTTGAAAGCGTTTGTGTGGAGTAATCAGCTTAGTGGGAGATCTGAGTGCACAGGGGCTTCTTGGGGTGGGGATTCTGGGTGCACTAGTAATGGAACGTAGCAAGGGCAAGGTAAAGGTGGTTGGGGCTCAGCAGGGGCTCTGGGTGTGGGGTGGGAGGAATAGAGCTTGGTGGAGAAGTGATGGGGAGTCCAGATACTGGGAGATTCGGGCTCAGCCAGGTGGGGATCTGAGTGGTCCAGGTACAGGGTGAGTGAGGCTCGGAAGGGGTGTTCTGAGTGGGGGGGCTAAGACTCAGCATGGGGTCTGGATGGATAGCTGAGGAACTCCTTATGAAGGGATCCTTCTTCCTATAGCTGAGGAGTGATGGATGCAGGAAATGAGAGATAGCGGAGATAGAAGTTTGCAGAGCTTCCTGCACCTGGGGTAGAAATCTAGGGGTAGAGTAGGTTTGACTCAACCTTGGATGCTCTGCAGGGAAAGA